TTTATCAGACAGTTACAATTGATGGACTATGGATAAGGCATCGATGCAATGCTTTATTTGACTATATTATAAACTATAGGTTGCCAATCAGAGTATATGCTTTAAGAAGGGTATATTGTAGGTAGTTGTTTACCAAAGCAGAAGGAAGAGTATAGAAATATATGTTATAAATAAGGCAACCAGTGTTGAATTAAAATTAATGGCAGGTCAGAACAGTGTATAGGAGAGTAAAAAGCTGATGAAGAATAAACAAGAAGCCGCTCACACCAACCTGTTGTTGATGTCATTTTGATCTATCGTAACCGGTTGATGGGTAGCATGTTCTATAGATGCAAGACCGCTGGTAGTAGGCAGTCGATTGTGCGGTTCTTTTGACTTTTCAGGGTAGTAGTACGCGTCTCTTAGCGACGGAGTATCGATAGGACCAATGAGTTACCTGCATCTTCAAGTACAAAATCAGGGAGGAAAAAGTATCTAATACAACTACAAAGTAGGAAAATGAGGCGATTCGGTCTATACATGTAGAGAGCCTGTAATGTCTGAGTGGGATGCAGATGTGTTCTTTTGTGCTAGATCTGTGCAAGTGAGAGCTTGATCAATAAGACTTACAAACGTGTGTAATTCATCTACCATGCGTATTTCAGAGATAAGACTGTTCTATAATAATGCATACTTGATGAGGAAGAAGTTTTCCTGAGATTTTGATTTGTATTTCTCAACTTTGACCGAGGATACTTTGTCTTAAAGGTCCTATTCATGTGTGTCTTGGGCAAGAGCTATATTACATGTGGAATAAATAAGGTTTTTAAGGAGTCTGAAAAAGAGAATCAAATTGGACCTAAGCCTTCTTTTCCGAAGGGGTTGTAGTCCTAAGATTTAGCATCTTGGACTGTATGCATGAGTGAGTCGTTCTTAAGTATTTTGCGAGTGAAATCGCGTTGTATTCCTTCCACCTCAAGTGTATCGGATAGGCGTAGGTTGAAAAATAAGAACGATTACTATTCAACGATACGTCTTACACAGACTTTATAAAGAGTGATTTTAGATTCATTTTGATAGAAATTATGAAGAATGAAGTCAAGCAATTTTCGCATTTCGAATGCTTTAGTTGAGACATGTTCAGAAAAGTAAGAACTGTGTGAGTATTTTACATATAGGTCAGTTGCTTATGTCAGTCTGGGCAATGTGTTCTCGTTATGTACTAGTTTTATTTTAAGAGACGTGTCTCCTATACATAGCCAGCCACATTTCTCTGTGTTGAGCTTCAACCTCCAGCATTCGCACCAATTGTCTACCATGTTGAGTACATGTTACATTGTTTGCATAGTACTATGTACATCGTGAATGACATTTTTATAGATAACTTTTAAGTTATCAACGTAGAGGTAGATCTTACCTGTGCTAAAGCACTTGCATATATTGTTGATGTAGATTGTAAAGATCAATGAACCCTGCACTATACCACTAGTTATTGGTCGAGGTTAAGATTTTGTAAAGTTAGTCTTGGTTATTTGGTATCTGTTTGTGAGAAAAAAACTTGATCCATTGCAATAGAGGTTTTGTGATTCCAAATGACTGAAGTCTGTTGATAGGAAGAATATGAGGTACGTTATCAGTGCTTTCTTAATATCGAAATATAGTATAACCACTAGTTTCTTTTGGTCACGTATGCAAGCAACCTCGTGAAAAAGTTTATCAGACATGTACTGCAGGACCTTGCTCTAATTAAGCCGTTTTGTGGTGGGTCTATTAGATCTTCCTTAAGTAGGTGAAATAACTGGAGTGATATTTTTAGGTCCGTAGTTTTCGACCAGGATTCATGGTCCTGATATGTGTTTGAGAAGAACATACGTTGCCTTCCAGGTTTCAAAATATGAACCTGTCTCTAAAGTTGATGTTTATATATTGAGTAATAGCGTTTGTATGTCCAGTCCTGAAACTTGGTAAAGGATTGATAGGATGTCACACAGTTCTGCACGGAAACCTTGGTCACTTTCAGCTGTGATGTCCGTTATCGGTGGGGCTATAGCGAATCTCGTGAATCATTCTATGCATGTAAACAGATGATCAAAATTACTCGAAAGCGGTAAAGGGCCTACAAAGTTGATATACACATTTCAATGTGGGAAGACGCTGGTCGGTGAATGTGTGCGACGATTAACTTTTGACTGCTGACACGCCGAACACTCTCTAGACCACTTGTGTACATCGTTTTGTGAATTTGGCCGTACATACCTGGCATTCATTAGTATAACTGAAGCTTTTGCACCGGAATGAGACAAGGAGTGAAAGTTATCAAGTATTAGTTTTGGGTACTTTTGGGGGCGAAATGTCGCGGCATTATCTTGGTCGTGTCACAGTGCAGTGATCTACTTTTATGAAGAGAAAGCGACTGGTGTGATAAAAACATTTATTATTATAACCAACTATACAAGTGATTGCTTTACTGTACACCATTGTTTAATTGTACTAAAAGCAGACTATTCCCACCGTTTATAACCTTGAGCGTGCGTAGGCACGATAGTCTCGCCTATAAAATTCGGCACAATCTCGGTATTATTTCGGTACCACGAGATCACCAACAAATATATCCTAACTACAATCTACAACTGTCCTCCTGATATTTATCCTACGGAGGGATTTAACCTGATAGTTGGCACACAATTGATCTGTAGTGATGATCATGGTCAACTGCTACTTGACACTACGACAACAGTAATTCAGAATGCCGTCATTAGGCGATGGTAACTGCTCTAGTTTGAGACTAGAGATGTTTGTTGTAAGTACGCCTTGTAGTCCATCAGCCTCATCTTGTTTGTCAATCAACGTCCCGGAATTTCCTGTGGCCTGTAGTATCACGTTCATCTCTAGTCGATATAATGCATCTGCATCCTGATTTTGATGACCTTTGACATGTCGGATAGAACTTGTGAACTGCGACGTATAGTCAAGGTGTTGGACATCTCGGGGTGAGTATTTATCGGCTCTTGCTTTTAGTGCATTGTTCAGTGGTTTGTGAATTCTCTGCCTTCCGACATGTGTCGAAAATGCTTCATGGTTGGGTAGATTGCAAAACGATCTCGTCCGGAGGAAGAAATCCTTGTCTCTGCTAGAGCGAGTCTTTTTGAGAGAAAAGCAACTACAGTGAAAAGTGGTGCCTGGAGGTTAGCAGACAGATGAACTCCGAGTAAAGGATGGTGTAAGACAAGGCTGGTTACTCTCACCTTTTCTCTTACTTCCGTTGGTTGACTGGATTATGAAGAGCCCGATATCTGAGAAGAAGCACGGAGTATAATGGACTGCCTGGATGCAAATATACTATTTGAACTTTTTAGAAGACTTAGCTGTTCTATTACATTAACAGCAGCGGATGCATGTGAAAACAGCCAGATTAGCATCAACCACTGCAACAGTTGGCCTCAGCATTCACAAGGAAAAAAAGATACTTAAATAAACACAGCGAGTACGAACTTATTCACTATTGATGGAGAACCTATTGAATGGGTGGGAAGATTTCCGTAGCTGGTCAGAATCACTGGTAATGAAGGAGGATCTGATGACGACGTGAATGCAAGGATTGGAAAAGCAAGGACAGCATTCCTACAGTTCAAGAACATAGAGAACTGAAAACGACTGTGAGTCAAAATCCAAGTCATAGTCTTCAAAATTTCCAACATCAAGAAGGTTTTATTATACGGAATTGAAATGCGAAGAACGACGATACGTATCAAAAAATGTACAAGTGTTTATGAACAGTAGTTTACGCAAGATAGTGGATGTTCGTTGACCGGATATTATCAGCAACAACCTACTACGTCAAAGAAAAAACGGGCCTGAGATGAGTGATATGCTGTCGACAGCATACTGATAAACATTGCCGCGTGCACTGTGCATCAGTACACATTTTCTAGAACTAATTCGTCTAGGTCAGCTTGAATATGAAGTTAACCAGCCCAGGCATAGATGTTTATTTTGAAAGCAACCAGTATTGCTCAGGAGTTAACCGACTGCATGTTTCTGTGTGACTTGGTAACCCAGCCACAGTTATATTCTAAAATGAATTGATTACTATACTGATTAGAGTGACAGGACGGTAGTCAGACATCATCCGTCTCTTTCCACATTTAAATATAAGGCTGACGATAGCATCCTTTCAATCCGTAGAGAGTTGAATTTGCGAAACAGACATGTTGAACGGCATCGTGAGTATTTCTGAAATAGTGTATGCGAAAGATGACAGAAGTTGTGTATCTAGTCCATAAGGACCTGGTGTCTTACTAGGTCTGTGGTCAGTGGACAATTAAAAAACAACACCCCTAGTCAGATGTGTAGGCACTATAGCTGGTATCTCAGTGGAATGGCTACAAGAAGTGTTATTGTCCATAACTGTAGAGTAGACTTTGCTCAAACAGTTTGATAAAATCCCAGATCTAGTTGTGTCCGAATAAGCCAGTATATCTGAGTTTCTGTGATACGATCAAGTAGGAATTCTATTACTACGCTAAAGTTTTGGCCTAATGTTCGAAAACAATAGTTTTGAGCAATTGCGGCTATCGTATGTCCCTTGTCGATTGTAAGTGGTGCAGCTTCTGGTCGTTTTACATATACTACGGATTTTTGGATATTCGTACTTCAACGATTGGTGGCCTGTTGATAGGAACAAGTCCCAGAAGTGTTTCCTACGTCGCAGTAGATTTCGAGGTTTTCTGTCGATTCATGGGGAGCAATGTGATAGCTAACCTGTTGTTCATGGGATGAACGGTTCATGTTTCATGTTTGTATGCAACGCCTTTGCGATGCATTGTACAAGTGTGCATCCAGCCAATTAGTGCTTTCTTTAACAGTAGTTCGTGTGTAAGTTTTGTTATTAAAATAAATGAGAGTTTAATTAAAAGTACATGTTTCGTTAATATTTGTTTTTGTAAACTAAGCATAATTTTACTCGGCATTTGCACTTTTTTGACTTGAATTAATGGGGAATATACATACAGTGGGGCCCAGTGAAGCCCTCGTTATTTCCGGTAACTGCTCGTGTCATAATTAGTATTACACAAGATATTTGGTGTCGATAGTTATATATGAGGATACTTTAACATAAGTGGTGATGATTTTGACATCCCGCCAGTAATGTCCTAATCTGCCGATTCTGGGAAAATGCGACAAACCCCCTAAATTTCCCCTGGTCCGGGATTTTTACTGAAATTTCAGCTTATTTCGGGGAGAACCTCAAAATATTTTGAGAAGTTTCGGGGAAAAACCCCAAAATATAGATGTCGGGGTCTTGATTAGTATACTACTGAGGTTAAATCACTTCTCGCATAGGTGTTTTATTCATTTTTAAGCATGTCAATGTATGTCTTTTGATCATGTTTGTTGGAACAAGCGCGTTTTAGCCGAATAGGGTTCCGTCGACGGCTTTTCTAAAATGTCAATCAACACTAGAAAGGGTTCATTTACTTAACTTGCTCTTATGTGGTATATTTAAGTCAGCATAAATCCAGGTTAAGACCAGCTGTAGGGTTTTTGGCTTTTCTGGTTCCATCTAGGTTTGATGTGCCTCTGGCACAAAATATGTATACTGATTAGTATTTTTGCTTAGATCACTATAACCATCTTTTAGCTGATTATTTTATCGTATACGTGACTTGTTGTAACGTCAGCATGACACTTTCAACCTGAGGCAGTGTGCCTGATTTGTTAATATGATTCTGTTTTACACTAGTGTAGCAACTACCTTTCATAAGTAGTGATCGTTTTCAGTAGAGATACACACATTATAAGCTTTAGCTCTTCTGATAAGATGCGTTAAGTCCAATAGTCTGCAAATCAGAGCTACCATATCGCAATCCTTTTCCGATACATGTATTCGTAGTTTTGTTTCTCCTGGTAGACTACTTGGTCTGTATGTAAGTATTGCAGTTAATTCAGGTTGTACATTATGTATCTATAATTTTTTTAATTAAAAATTTGTTATATGTCTCTGGCTGTCAGATCGCTATCATTCAGTTTGATAATGTAGAGTATAATATTTGCTGAAGGAAAAACCAGCTTATCTGATAGTGGCAGTTCATTTTAAGTAGTATCATTTTAAAGTCAATATATGTGGTGACAGTTTTTTGGTTGTACATGATAGTATTTTCAGATAAGGCCGTTATAAGATGTCGCTGCGTTTAGTGGAATGTAAAATGATTTTATTGAGTCAAAATAATGGTCACTTTTTGATATTTATGAATCACTTTAAAAGGTGGATGCTGTGGAGCTGCGAAAGTGCGTACAATAATTGGTGGGTGGGGTTGGGCTTGGTGGCTTGTCACTGAGGTTCAAAAGTAAATCTCTTGAGTTAGTATCAGACCTCCAGAATTTCTCTAGGAGTTATGACTCTAAATCCAGTCTGCGAGAACGTGGAAACATCAGAAGGTGTTCCTTTAACTGTGACAGGTAACTTGTTGATTTGCATTGGTCTTTAAACTATATTTTTCATTGGTAGGCGTGGCACAAGTCAAGGTGATGCGGGATGACAAACTGCTTGAGGCAGCATGTCAACAATTTTTAGGGAAAAAACAACGAGATATTCAAAACACTATACTTCAAACGATGGAAGGACATTTAAGAGCCATACTTGGCACCTTGACAGTGGAAGCTATCTATCGTGTTAGTTTTTATCTTTTTCACCAACTTTAATCTTTATGAAATGTTATATGAGCACAGCATTGTTCATGTGTGGTACTTTATATTTAGTAAAGTGTTTTAAAAAATCGCGGTTAGGCTCTACATATTCGGCGTTTTGTAAATTATCCTGGTCGAAAAATATCTTCGATGCATTTTTGCTGATAATTTGTGAATTGTCGATATTGAAATTTATATGGTATGTGTAGTGCTAACCCTTGTTGAATTTGATTCTCAATCAACAAATCGCATGTTAGGTCTTACATTTCCTGTCAATTACAATTCATGTTCCTCAGTTACCATTTGATTTTTCGTTGAAGCTACTAATAATATCTGTTAACAAGTATCAAACTATATGTACCAGAATTTCGTCATACGTCAGCCGAATCCAAATTCTATATGTTGCCGTCATTTTAATGAAATATTTCCTTCTCTTTTACTAAAAACGTTTTCAGGGCAAACCGGTTCATTGCATTCGTAAATGTTTACATGTTCCACATCAATCTCAACCTGTTTGCTCATAAGTATTCATTCGTCGTTAGTTCTAAAATTTTAGAAACTGTCCTATTTAAATAACCTCGATTTATCACTTTTAGAATTCTTACCAGTATTCAAAAATCGAAGTAGAAACTAATGATCTCCCCATTTTGTAAAGTAGCCCTAACTCTCATATCATAATTAAGTAAGAGAAACTAAGGGAGTTAATTATAGGGGCTCGGTCTATCTGTTGAACATTCATGTTTGATTTGGATTTTGATGAAATTAAGACAAAAGGCAAACTTAACCTTAGCATGTTGTGTAATTCTCTTGATTCCCTATTGTGGACTTGGACATCCCATAGAATGTGACATTAGATACTAGTTTTTCTAATTTGTAAGCACAATGGAATCCAAATTATAAGTGCATTATGAAGGCCTTTCTAACGTATTCCTTAAAGCTTCTAAAATTTATTATATATATATATATATATATATATATATATATATATATATATATATATATATATCAGTAATTGGGATTAACGGGTATCCTCTTTGTTTTAGGATCGCGATCAGTTTGCTGCTCTTGTTCGAGAGGTGGCGGCACCAGATGTAGGACGAATGGGAATTGAGATATTAAGTTTTACCATAAAAGATGTCTATGATCGTGTGGAATACTTAAATTCTCTGGGACGTGCACAAACAGCGAACGTCAAAAGAGATGCTGACATCGGAGTTGCTGAAGCAGAACGTGATGCTGGAATCAAGGTATTCTTTCTATGCAGTGTTATTAAATCTTTCAATAGAAAGTTTTTGATTATTTATTGGTCATTTCAGATTAACCATATACTTTGCAATAGTTTTATGGGTGCAAATATGTTATAACTTGTGGCATATGTGCCCCGTTAATGTATAACGTAACGAAACCGCCAATTAAAGAGCGGTGAATTATCGATCGAACCAGTGACGCATAAAACCGTACGAGCAGTCTAGAGTACTTATTGGTCCTGCTTTCCGCCTAGCCCAGTCAGTTAAGTCCAGAAGACCAATCTCAGCCTCTGCAATATGAATCATTTATATCAAACATACTGGGTTTGTATACGAACCAGACCACACCGTGCCATGAAATAGGAAACAACATTTATACAAAATTTGGCCAAATGTGGCTGTCAATTTGGGAGGTAGTAATTAATAGACAGGGCATAATTCAAGAATAGTAAATCATATAATAATAGTTCATAGGTCAAAATAAAGCTCATAATAAGAGGGACATGAATATAAATAGTTTAGTTATTTCACAGTTATACGATAAAAATATACACATAGTATTGGCCCATAAATGGATCCCAAAGTTACTGTTCATTGTGCTTATTGGAACCTAACAAAATATATGAAAATTTCTTTGTACTCACCGAATTATTAAGATTCTAAGTTCCTCATGACGTTTTTTGTCTTTGTCTCACTAATTTATAGTTTCTCGAGTCATATCTTCCTAATAGGATAAATCGGCTGATGTGAAACGTTGGTGTACTGGTCGTGGTGCTCGGTTTTCAGCTATAGACTCCTTGGTTAGAACCCCACTTCATTTACTTCAATCTGGGCCACCGGATAGTGTCATGATTCCTCACACTTAGGACTGTGGCTCACACTCACGTACTTGGTCAATAATTCATTTATTATTTTATTAAATTAGATGTGGTAGCATAGTGATATATGCTTGCTTACTCAATTGATAAGCCTTGAAAAACCAGTGAATGTTAACGACTGACCTCATCCAGTTTTACTTATTATTTCTAATTACTAAATAAAAATTCAGTATTTGATGTTATTTTGACACCAATCGCTTTATGTTTTGATACATCGGTACCTAAACTCAGATATTGTATATTAAGCTCTTTTTATTAATGACGACGTCTTATGTTAATAATGAAACAGCCAATGTTACAAAGTATATATCGGTGTAATCTTTCTCAGTCAGTCCGTTCTGTTTTACTTTAAGGCTGCTAAATGTGACCATTAAGAGTCGAAGATACCCATAAGCTACTAGCATTTGACCATAGATGCTTTAGAAATATTGCTGGCATCTTCTGGGATCACCGAGTAAGTAATAGTGAGGTTAGACGCAGGGTATTAGAGGACGATGGTAAATCAGTTGATGAGGTTGTGAATCTTCATCGACTGAGATGGTTGGGCCACGTGTTACGTATGCCTGAATACCGATTACCACGACGTGCAATGCTGACTGGTGTTGGGAATGGTTGGAAAGGAGTTAGGGGTGGCCAAACCAAAATGTGGCATCAGTCCTTGAAGTCACTAACTTCTGGTCTGAGCCATGTTGGTAGATGCAGACTACTTAGTTAGGATTCGCGTGACTATCGTAACCAATGGTTGGATACTCTGTGTGACGTGGCTCAGAATCGATCAAAATGGCGTAGGTGTATACACTCTTTGTCTTCCCTTAAATTAAGAGATTAAAATCGCTTCATGTCTTTCTTTCCACGAACTAATTCTTTCTTACTGTACTACGTCCTTATATGTAATCTTTCTTTTGTATATTACCATCACTACTTCTATGAATCCGGTGTTCATCTTGTTGTGCTAATGAGGTATGGCAACTTTGACCGATGCATATATGTGCCTGGTCCTACGTTTTAGCTGACTGACTGAATCTGTCTCAGCTGCCTGATATGGTGCTCATAATTAACTTTTAGACTCATGGATTTTATTTTTAGTAAGTACGTGTAACTAAGTTACAAAAACTAAAACCATCAGTTTTCATTACCTTGTGTATTTCTTTTTTTTGCTAATCAGCCTGTAAAAAGATAATAAGTATTCATTGTTCTCCATAGGAGAGTTAATATCTTCAGGTCAACAAATACTAGACAAGCGTAAAATAACTCTATTGATAGATCTGACAGTAAATGAATGACAACTCTGTATTTTTACTGCAACAGGTCAACAATGAGGGCAGACTCTGAAGGAACTATTCTATGGATTGAATCATTTCAAGTATTTTATAAAAGTTGTATTTTGTATTACGATGGATTCCAAAAAGACATAAAATAGTTCGTTTATTTCCTCAATAACGAACACTTTCCTGTGTAGTTTCTAGGTTTGTGATGTTCGAATGAAGTCAGGATTTTTCCCCCAGATTCGCACTCTTACGGGGTCGGGTCCAAGATTACTGTATTTCACAATGAATGAAATTCTCTTAGATAACCGGAAGTCGATTAAGAGTTCCTCAATTATCCTTTGACGTTATTGTCCGTATTTTACATTGTCTTATGTTTCTAATTTCAATGAATCCATTTACCGCATACTTGGATATAAGCCACATTATGTGTGGGGCTGAATGATATTATTTGGTCGCCCAAACTTAAGTAGGAGGTGTAGGGTGTAAACATGAGACTTGGTAAATGGAAGTCGAACACCTTAACCACTTATTCGCCGCTCCGCATTGTTTGGACTTTGATAACTTTAGAAAATCGTGGTTTTCTGAAATTCAGAAAGTTTATATGGAGACAAGCTATTGAGTTTTAACTAGATTCATTCTGTGGGGTGGAATGTAGACAAAATTGTTTAACGCGAATGTGTAGATTCTACTATGTCTTCTTAATGAATTGGACTCTCCAGTTCTCTCGAAAATGTTGACGTAAGACATTTTCCCTTTACCCGAATTAGGAAAGACTTTCTCTGACTTCATGTTTAAATGTGTAATGGCAACTTGAAATGATGTACGTACGTACGAAGTCCTACGTTCTTGCTGACTGAGACTGATAGTGAATAGATGTATCATTAGGTGCTTAATTTTTATTTCAAAGTGTAGTTCAGCAGTTGGAAGCTTCAAATTTAAATGTTATTGTTTACTGTCTTCTGCTACTGAACAATAAAATATTACGTTACGTGTTAAATAGTTCTCAGTAAAACTTTAAAAGTGTAGTTGCATGCAGTTTAATTTAACAATAAGTTCTTGCACGTTGTCTTCTATATTAAAACTGATCAATCCAATTTACAATTTCTTTATTGTGTTACTGAGTATTTGTAAACGTAACATTTGAGAATGAAGAGTGTCTGACACCGATTAATATTACATTACTACCTACAGTGGCATATCTTCTTCGTGACATTTTATTTGTTCAGAAGTTTATACCATAAAAATAGTGTTTATTGATTAATTAAATCTTATTTCATCAGCAGTTCTGTACACCCCTCTGTTCTATCTTGGGCACCTTGTTTAACTGTGAGTGTAAAATACATTACTGTTTCCATCATAACCTCTGTCTTTAAAATAACACCGTTTACTTTGACGCACAATGCTGACGTGTTGGAGATAATTGGAAGAAATTTAGAGGCGGCCAAACCAAAATGTGGCATCAGTCCTTGAAGTCACTAACTTCTGGTCTGAGCCACGTTGGTAGATCCAGACTACTTAGTTGGGATTCGCGTGACTATCGTAACCAATGGTTGGATACTCTGTGTGACATGGCTCAGAATCGATCAAAATGGCGTAGGTGTATACACTCTTTGTCCTCCCTAAAACCGTGAGACTAAAATTACTTTATACATCTCTAATTCCTTGTTCCTGTATTATATCCTTATACATGATCTTCCTTTTATGCATTACCATTGAAGTGACTACTTCTATGAATTTGGTGTTCATCTTGTTGTGCTAATGGGGTGTGGCAACTTTGACCGATGCATATATGTGCTAGATCCTACGTTGTAACTGACTGACTGACTGCGTTTAAAATATATTTTCATTTCTCGTCAAATGTTTGACAGCAGTTTGTTTAAATGTTGTTTTTGCACTCAAAAGTTACTGTTAAATTACCATGTGTTTTTTTACAATCTTAGGCTATCTCTTTCCCAGTATGTATCCTGGGATAACTGATTATTGTCATTATAATTAATTGATCTCAAAAAAGTAAAAACTATCACCTACATAATAACGTTACTTGCAAGACGCTAAAATATCTAGTATTAATTAAAATGGTTTATATTCACGATTTCTACTCTTAATATGTTTTTACCTTTGCCAAAGTTTGAAATCTTTTTCAAAGTTAGCTTAACTTTAAATGTAAACTGGAAAGTTGGTATAAGCTCATTATGTTACAATCTGCCAAGTGTCAGTGTTGTATCATCGATCTTTTTTGTTTAGGAAGCAGAATGTGATCGTAGTCGTTTGGACGTTCGTTATTCAGCCGATACGCATATTGCTAATTCAAGTCGTGAATTTCAATTGAGGAAGGCTAGTTTTGATCAAGAGGTTAATACAGCTCGTGCAGAATCTGAATTGGCCTATAAATTACAGGTAATTGAAATAAGTACAGAGTATATCTTTGGACACTATACTCTATGAGTAAGCTTTTTTTCCCAGCATTTTTAGACAGATTTGTGTGCGAACTACATTTAATGCTGGTTTATAAGTGTAAGTGTTTTGTTGTACGTAAGCGGCATATATTTTTTTGTAATACACTTTGTTAATTCGCAGTTATTTATTATAATAATTGATTGGAACTGATAAATTTCAGCTGTTGATTCGCTGAATGATCTAAGTCAATATTATATGTCAGTCAGGTTGTCTTATCACTATTTCATCAAAGGTCATTGTTGTGACTGATTCGGTCAGCAATATAGGTTGCATGGGACTCGATATCCATGTGTTTCGGTTCAAATTTGTTACATATGACATTACACTGAGAAAAAGAATTAATAAATCAGAAAGAAAGCAGATGCGTTTGGGAAAGTCGATTTCAGTGGAGAATTGAATATATGCTACTTCCAAAAGTATGAACGAAATCAGAGCATCCAATTACATTGAGCTGAGTGTTTAAAGGAAAACAAAGAACGAATACATCTACACTACTGCAACCTTTGACCGATAGATCTTAAGGTCTCCAACTGTAAATTATAATTATCAGATGGAGCCGAAATTGGCGATAACTTCGTAAGTTAATATCATGCCTTAATTTGCCTGTCTATAGTATATGTACCTCAACCAGAATATTTTATCAAGATAGTGGATTTTCTGAAGGATTTATGAAAAGACATCCTTGTAAAATCTTACAGCATCAGTGAACAATGATTTGGTGTCTAGCTTCGTGGTTATAAGTATGTAGTACATTCTTATCCAATAGTTCTCTTAAACTACTAATGTGTAGTTATGTTTGGTTGATGTGTTTATCATTCGTTGTAAAATTTCTCAACCGTGACCTTATTCAATAAAAAAGTATGCTTCTGAGCACTTACCACAAGTGTTTTGCTCCCTTACACAACAGTTGTCGTCATACTTATAACGAAATCGTTTGTGGTTCTACATGTTTCAATTTTACCCATGCTAGCGTGCAGACGGACATTTGACCTAACGATACCATACGTGAACGCCTTCAAGTTCGTTAGTTGTACGCAAATCCAAAAAGAGTGTACGAGGAATCTTTTCACATATTAACGTGAAGTAATTATTCATTATGTATCTGTTTGACATTTTAGTAGAGTGGTTTTGACCAAACTAGTAAACTACTTTATTTTGAAGTAGATTTGTATAAACAGTTTCCTAGTTTGTTAACTTACAAGTTTTACCATGTCTTATTTATTTATTTGAACATATAAATATTGGTACAAGGGGGCACCAGATATATGTGCTCCACACAGTTTTACCATTTAATATCCACAATACGAGTAATTGGAAGTATTTTCCTTTTTGCTATCATCTAGCGTAGACATAATTATTAAAGAGCTAACAAAGAAAGTTAGTTGGTTCCTATCGTCTTGAAATTATGAACCTTGTAATGGTCATTTTTGTCGGTTGATTATCATCAACATACCTCAATATTGAGAATTGTATTATAATATTAGTTACTGACACGTTGAAAAAGGTACATATTGTGCAAAACTGTTCTGTATTTGTAACTGCAAGAATAGTTGATCATGATAAAAGAAATGTGTTGTTGTTTATGTCAATTTTAGGCTTTTGACATTTGGGTTTTGACTGTAAACATTTAAACATATAGTTTTGGATCTATATACCTGATAGCTCAAAAGTCAATACTTTGGATTGTGTAAATCAAATAAGTCAACAAACATTTGTTGAGTATCTATTATTTCGTTACGCATTACTAATAAAAAAAAGGAAGGAAAGAGGATGAATAAGATCACTAAGTGACTGATAAACATATGTAACATGCTGGATATATTTTAAACGAATCGTAAACCAAAAAAGAACAACTCTAAATCTTAAAATTACTTTGAATGATGTTTAAAACTAGGTCAGTTGTGGTAATTATTGATGGTACCTTCAAGATGAATGTTATTATCGGTTTGTGCATGACTTAATCAAGATATCGATCCATAAATGTTTAATTTATTATTAAGGTCAACTAACTAATGTAAACGATTGTTTAAAGAATTCCAATTTTTTTAAAAATGAATAAATAAGTTTTGCTATCATCATTATACACAAGAATTATAATCTGCTTTGGATTGAAAATAAATGCAGAGCAATGTAGTTGGTTAGTATGATTATACAAATAGTTAGTAAACAGATAATGTATTAAATGTAAATGGCAAAACATTATTATGTATAAAATTTGTAAGAATAGTTCATGAATAATATAGCTATTATCGATATTTTATTGTAGCTAATGAGTGGATTGTTCTTCAACTTATAAATTCTAATATCAATAAGTATTCACGCAACTTCGGTCTAATTTATGTAATCTACGGAACTGCTGAAGGTACTACCAAATTACTTTTCATATTGTTAGGTAGTAGGTTTCTCATTTATTGTAGTTGTTTTGAACTTTTGTAACTGATCAAAATCATTTATTGGGTTGTTGCTAACCTTTAGGCTGCTAAAGAGAGACAAAAAATTCGAAAAGAAGAAGTGAACATTAATATTGTTGAACGTCGTAAACAAATTGAAATAGAAGAAAAAGGCATATTATGTACTGAAAAGAATATGGATGCTACTGTACGACGTCCAGCTGAAGCAGAAGCCTATAGACTACAACAAATAGCTGAGGGTTATAGGTATGCTGTGTTTTAATGAATTGGATGACATTTATTATTTACTTCACACTAATATATTAGTCCTATCAACTTATATGTAGTTAATTGTTGTGTTTTAAAATATCCATTAAACTAATGAGAGTACTTACAATATTGATTTTTAAATATTCATTTCTCAAAAGTGCTAACTTGAGATTAGAGTTGTTGTCTAACGATTTTGACTTTTCAGCTTCTTATTTATTATAACCGTTCTTATTTTGCTATGGACTTTAAAGTTAATTCACCTGAGTAGTTAAAAGAAGTTAGTGTGTGCACTTACAAGCTTAAACCTGTTACTTCTTATACAATCTAATCATCTTGGGTAGTATTCTTCTTTACTTCTCTGTAAATATGCTTTGTTGTGTATATATGGGGGAGAACGTCTTCTTGAGATGCTTATAAGGTAGCGTGTCAACTCAGTCTTAAATTCGACCCACAGGGTAACTTCATGACATGATTAAACAGCTGTCCAGTACTTCTCTAACTGACGCCATCCAGTGATTTAAAACTGCAAAAACGGTTGATAATTGCAATAGTTTACTGAAATCTTTCTATTTACTTAATATCATATCATCAAAATGGTACTGAATAACACGTCACAAAATGTAATAACTAATGGTAATTTAGAGATCGTAAGTATACATTAAAATAACTCAGTAACAACTTTCCACTGAATTTTAGACTATTTCGAAAGTGATTGCTGTCTTAAATGGGCGGTCTACTTACGTCAATCTCGACTGTATAATTTGTTATTCACGGTAACTAAATCCATCTTGAACTTTCATTTGTGTATATTATAGCATTGCTTGATAAACTTAGATTATAATCAAGTATGTACTGTTCCTTAATTCTTGAAGTAAATCTCAGAATTCTTCAGATTTCCTTGGCAAGTGTGTTTAGTCTGAATAGCCAACAATTTGTTGTTCAGTAAACGTTCAATGCTATCATCGACTATTTACTCCTTTTCATAATGAAGTTGATCGCAATTTAGAAATAAACAGCACGTTCATTTCTCCAGTTTTCTATTTAGTTTTCCAACTCCCGTTAAATAATAGATTATCTGCAAAATCATACATTAAAAAAAACAATTGTAAAATTCTTCACTGTGAATAATTAATTCATTAATAATCAGTGAACGATCACCATATCCGATTATAGGATAGAAGATAAAAATCTAGTTCAATTACATTAGAGTAGTATGAAAAGTGTACTGTGAATAAAACATCTGTCATTGGATTTTAATTACAGGTTTATTGTACCATGTCTCGATACAGTCTACTTTTTTTTCGGAATGCAAAGAGATTCTTCAATAAAATTATTGGATGTCATAGCAGTTCTGCCAGTTTTACAGATGTAGATTTTCATGTTAACCATCTTCTATTCATATTGTCTTCTAGTACTTTTAATGTGTAATTTTTTTAATTTGATGAGTACTTCTCGTTGTTGTATTTTCTAAAGTATAGTAAAGTAAAAATGTTATGTACCTGTAACTTTTAATAGTATAGATATTGTATACTAAATGTGATGATATTTTTTTGCTATCGTTCTTGCCAAAAATATACTAGTAAAAATACTTTACTGACAGATGTGTGATAATGTATTTGTTATATCACAGTGAGTAGAAAAATTAGATTTTTCTGACGTTTCTCTGAAGAATTGGCTTACACTCATTGGGATATTACAAGTATATTATTTTTATTTATAACATTCTACCCAATGCTCAATTTATTTGAAGTTATCAAGTCAAACCTTGGTAATGGTACCTACAAAAAATGATTGTTTATTCTTCTATTAAATGTTATTTCAGATCACAAAAAATTCTTTTAGCTCAAGCTGAAGCCGATGGTATTCGTCTTAAAGGTATTGCTAAAGCTGAAGCTATGGAAGCTGTTGGACGGGCAGAAGCTGAGAGAATGCGTTTGAGGGCTGAAGCTTATAGTAAATACGGTGATGCTGCTATTCTAAATCTCATATTGGATACATTACCGCAAATAGCTGCTGAAGTTGCTGCTCCACTGAGCAAAACTAAAGAAATTGTTATTATGAATGGTTCTAATGGCGAACCGGCTACTTTACAAAGTCTCACTAATCTGGGCAAAGATTTTACTACATTAGTTGGGACTGTTCCACATGCTATTCGAGCTCTAACAAATGTTGATCTTAGTCAGGTTAGACTTTTTTTCATTTTATCGTTACTTTTTACATTCCGGTTTGTGTTCGATTTTAAGTGTAATATTATTGTTGACTCTAGGCTGTGTGTTTACCGAAAGATATTGTTAAGTTTTGGTATTCGTCACTAGTATTTTATTAATTAAACACCTTTTTTAAAACACTGTATATCATCACTTCGTTTAGTTCAGCTGATTTATAATAACAAAGTTTGAATATTCCAACTCTGAGCCAAAACTTTCTTAATGCTATCTTCGGAATCTTATCAGCAATAGTTAGAATCACAATAAGTGTCCATATGACTTACATTCCCCGATTAGAGTTGCGCGTCTAGGTAAGTCATGTGCTGTTGCTCAATCAACGATGATAGTTTGGTCCAGAGTACTGACTATTATAACAATATACATGTGATTAAAGTTGGTTCGGTCAACATACTAATAAGAAATTCATCTTAGTTTCTGTATCTGTATGAACATGCTTATACTAAGTGCACAGTAGTTTTCTTGTTGATTAGCTTTTTATGGGGAACTTTCTGGTAATCTCTTTTTAATTCCATTGTTGATTAGTATCAGTTTAAAATATATTATGCGTGAAAACATTGAAAAGCTTACTTGATCTGATATGCAGCTTTTCAGAACACAAAATTTACTCTTCCTATCGTGTTCAATCATATTATGGTGTAAGCTACTGATAGGGACAGGTATAAGTGTGGTGTATGCTGCTTCTTCTGACAGAGATAAATCATATGTAGCAAAAATCGGATGTGGAATGCTTGCCAGCAGAAGATTGAATTGAAGAAACAGAGCAATTGGAATAACACCAGAATTGAAAAAATCATGAAGCGTGTAGAAGGCAACTGATGGAGGATTTGCAAATAATGTATTCAATGTTTGATTTCCATATTTTACGAAGGCACTGGGTAGTTCTGCATTAAACAGTATATTGGTTTTCTCCAACTCAGTTCTCGTTCACTGTATATGAAGTATGTATCGGCGATCCAATGTAGGATTGTTACCAACAGAAGAGGAAAATGAGAAGGGGAAAAAGCAAAGGTAGTTGGATTATCAACAGAAACTGAAAAAACGATGGAGTTTGGAAGAGACAATTTAAGGAAGTTGTTCGAATGTTGTATCCAGTGTATTGTTTTCGTATTTTACAACACCAGAATAAACTATTAATAAAGTCCTTTTTGAGTGATTCACTGGGTTGTTCCAAACTGTGTAGAAAATTCACTGTAGAGATAATCGGTTTCTTTTAGAGCTCAGAATATTTTATGTGTGGGTTTCTAGGGATAATAATATTAATTCATAGTTATTATTTCTCACTGTGTAAAAGTGTCACAATGTCCTAGGTTATATCAACCAGAAAAGCAAATCTAAAAATATTCCAGTAATTTTTGTCGTTAATAGTCAGCTACTATGATTTTGTTTGGTTGTATATGAAAACTTATGAGTATTCTAATATTTTTATGGGGAGTACAACTCATCAGTGTTATTGTTGACTGCTGAAGCACAAATTGCGTAATAAGTAGGGATTTTTAGCGTAACAATTAATCAACTTTACTTGACCTATTTCATGAGATCATCTATCAGTCTGTTAATGGTTTCATAAATCAGCAGTATGTTAATTTGTAAAATGCTTTTTAGATAAATCATACCTTTTGAAGTTATGTGGACATTCTGGTTTGAAAAAGTTTGTACTTTGAATACTGTGTTAATTTTTTCTTTCAAAACCCATAAGATATGTGGCCTAATGGTTAAAACATTCTATTCAGAAACAATGAGTAGCGTGTCTAAATCCCACTTTATCCATTACATTCTAGGCACAAGTATTATTATTATCAGCCCTCATACAATGTATGTGGTTCAAAGTTACGTACACAAAACCTATATTTGATAAATAAATAAAATTATATATCATTATCTTGGTTACATATTTTCATTAAGTTTGATATTCTATTTATTCTTATTGCATAGCGGAGAACTGTTACCAATATTTTCATTTTACTTAGCGGAACGTTTATTCCCTTTGTCAGGTATATTATTAATAACCTTGCGTATTGATATATCTTGAATAAGCTGCGATCCACCACAAATCTGGAATCACGTCGAGCTCACCAGTAAAATCCTAGGTGTCTGTCTATGAGTAAAACCAAAAGTTAACAAATTACAGTTAGAATACAAATGGTATATTAAACAACAAGATAATAACAGTTGTTATGAAAGGAATGTTACTTGTAAACCGCTTTCTGAGATAACAACTACAAATCAGTTCACTTGATTAACGAAGATTCCTCTGCGCGAGGTGACACCAACGGCACAATGAGAAAGACTGGATCCAATAGTATTATTTAATAATCATCCGGGCCAACGTAGTGTAGGAAGGCCTGAAAGGACGTTATAACACTATTATAGTCTTCAATCAAAGGCCGTGGCCAATAAATCAGGAGAACAGACGGTGGAGAATAACGTTTTATGTATTTCAACCAACGTGGTAGAATATTTGTATATTGAGCGAAGCAAAACGACGCGAAGTGGAGATGGCGGGTAAACCAACTCCCATTTAAACAAGCGTTAATCAATATTTATAGTTACACAGAAGTAAGTTACAGACACGTGATGAGTAATGGGATAAGAGATGTACCCACAACTACGCGCTCATATAAAAACAGTCAAGATTGATAAGCGAATAATTAACAAGGCCAGAATGTGACTCAAGTAGGATGAATAGAATGGGCTGTCCGGAAGCTAGAATAAGGTATATGGGCTTAACATAATAACCGATACTACAGGTAGCATCAGATCATCAGTATCAGAAATAGGGTCGTATGATTTTGTATACTGAAGATTAATTCTGCAATTCACTTCTTAAGTACATAATATCGTCAGATGAAACTTGAAGGTCCTGGGATCGAATCCCGCGAATGGGGTCGTGGACGCTCATCGTTGAGGAGTCCCACGCTAGAACGAAACGGCCGTCTAGTGCTCCCAAGTTTTCCATGGTGGTCTAGCTCTAATTCAGTCATGAACTCAACTATTAAATTTGATTTGATTTCACTCACTTGAAGCTTTTGTAGTTCTGTACTTTAAGCTACATTTTTGCAGTCAGGAATATTTCTCTCCTATTTCGTTTATATAAGGAAACGGTCATAATGAGATAGACTACTTTAAGTTTAGTAACCTTCCCTGGTTTTTAAATCCCAGAGACAGCTGGCTTTGACGAATTCATGAAGTGAACAGAGAGTTCTTCAGCTTTAGACAGAAATTTCAATGTCAAATACAGATAAAGATATATTAATCCTTTTTAGTAAAAAAAATGTCGTTAAGTCTGGGAAACTAGATTGTTCGCCTTGTTTTTTGGTGATTTTTACTCTAGTTTTCGCAATGAGATACAATTGCAACATGAATCTGCATTAATACGTAGTGCTTGTTATGGAAATCCATTTTGCCAGTTTTATGTTATACGTATGTTCGATTACATTTCCTATTTAATGTATACAACTAACGGCGAAACAAAAAGGTCCGATCGTTGTATTTGCTTAAATGATATGAAGGTTACCTGTCTCTATTTTAATGTTTCTTTATTAATAGATTTGTTTATTTATAGGTTTATGTTAATACATTTACTATGTAGAATAACACTGTGTTCGTTTCATCCTTTATTTTATTAGACTATTTCCAAGATTCCAGGAGCTAAAGTTGTCCCACCGCAAGGGATATGAGATTGTGTAAAATATACGAATCAAGCATCGAATATACTTATGTTTTTGAATTCATTTTCATAAAAATGACCTATCCTAGTATGTTCTCTTTTAAATACAGTGCACCTCCCAACAGATTTTTTCCTGCGAACTATTATATGTGATATACAAGATAAATTAACTTTACTGCTTTTCGTTCGATTTCGGCATTTCTACTTTCTTTTCCAACACTGATTTAATGTCTCTTTCCATAATTTATCAGTAACCTTGTCTATAATAGTTCCTTTGATAAAACAATTCCCTGTTTCGCTTTAATTTCAATTAGTGTTGTACATTTAACAATTTTCTAATGGTAATTCTTACTTATTCTACATAGAGAAGTTGCGTATTTGTAAAACTGATTTTTTAATTGTGTTTCTATATTGATAATTTTGGTCTAGAAAACCACCATTGTTTCATTCTGTTGTTCTTTTTGTTCTTCCTACTTTGTGAATTTGGTTTGAAACCATTTAAATTTTGTGATCTACACTTTCTTTTAAAAAAATTCAGAAAACCAGTCTGTCATTAACTCTACCATAGATGTGACAGTACTTGATATTCGTGCAATAAATAAGGGATGTTAAATAAGGCAAGTAGCTATTTAGAAAAACGGTGGTAATTCACAATTCATGAAACAGTGGAGAACCCGACGGATACTCTATCAAGTCTAGATTCCAATCATAGTCTGGTAAGAGTACAATTTATCTTCTATCGTGGTTATTATCATTTTACGATTTGCCTGGTTAGTAGAGGCCTACGCATTTTACCATAGTTAACATCTGGCCTCAGTAGATTTTGTCGGATTGTTTCTGCTTACTCTCAACAGCGACTTGCAGGTGAGTTACCCAAAGAGTTCAATGACGACCCATACAATTAAAGAGAAATATTGAAAAGCTAGATCCGAAGCTCTCCGATGAAGCTTCGATGGTGAGTAGACTGTGCTTGTCAGAAGCCAACTTGCTTTACAGTCCTTTAGGATTTTAGGTTATCTGATGAAGACAGTTTTATGCCATTTGTTCATCGGACTAAACGTGGACATTCGATAAGTAGTTCAAGAAGAAGCATCTCTAATATCATAACATGCAAAGGCCTTGAAAATTTATAAATGTCCATCTTGTTATCCATGTTTCCACTTGAAGTGTTTTAACAATGTCAAAACCAGTCGTGTCGAAAATCCTGTAATGAACTATGGTATTATTCGTGACGCTCTAACCAAACCGATAGAAGAAGCCACTAGTTTAAAATGTATCACTGAGTAGCTTGGAAGCAAAAGTTTCACAGTTTGGTATGTTACTTATGCCTGTTACTCCCAACGGAGCCTACCCCGCCAACCAGCATTCCCCAACCCACTTTATCCTGAGCTTTCCTTTCCAGTTCTATCCAATTTTTCTCATGTCTGTCCATCTTTTAACATCACATGTTCTTTCACCCTGAGGATTCCGTGTGAGGGCTTGTCTTGTGACGCAGCTTGGTGCTTTCCTCAATATGTGTCCCTTCCCCTCCCAGCGCTTCCTCCGCTGGGATCTGATTTATTTTCTACCATAGTAGGTTGTTGCTGATAGTGTCTGGCCAGCGGATCCGAAGTATTTGGGATAGACAACTGTTAATAAACACTTGTATCTTCTGGATGATGGCCTTCGTAGTTCTCCAGGTTTCCGCCCCATACAGTAGAGCAGTATTGATATTTGTGTTGAGAATTCTGACCTTGGTATTGGTTGACAGCTGTCTTGAGTTCCAGATGTTCTTCAGTTGTAGATATGCTGCTCTCGCCTTGCCGATCCATGCCTTCACATCTGCATTACATCCACCGTGTTCATCAATGATACTGGCCAGTTATGTAAAGGCTTTTACATCTCCCAAATCTCCGTCAAGTGTGATTCTATTGTGGCGTGCTCTGTTATATCGGAGAATCTTGCTTTTCCCTTTGTGTATGTTGAGACCTACTGCTGCTGAGTCTTCTCCTGCAATTGTTGTTGCGATTGCGATAGGAGGGCCAGATCATCTGCGAAGTCTGAATCATCCAGCTGCATCCTACCTGTCCACTGTATTCCGTGCTTCCTTTCAGATGTTGACGTCTTCATGATCCAGTCGATCACCAGGAGAAAGAGAAGGGGTGAGAGTAAGCAACTTTGCCTGACACCGATCTTTACCTCGAACGAGTCTGTCAATTGTCCTCCATGCAAAATTGTGCAGTTTAATCCATCATAGGAATTCCGTATGATATTGACTATCTTCTGAGGCACGCCGTAGTGTCGAAGAAGCTTCCACAGTGATGTCCCGTCCACGCTATCAAGTGCTTTTTCGTAGTCAATGAAGTTGATGTAGAGTGATGAATTCCATTCAATTGATTGTCCCACAATGATCCGTAGAGTTGCGATTTGGTTTGTACACGATCGATCCTTATGGAATCCAACCTGTTGGTTTCGAAATCGGGCATTTACGGAGTCTCTCATTCTGTTTAACAGTACCTTGTTGAAGACTTTTCCTAATATTTAGATAAGATTGATGCCCCTGTAGTTGTCGCACATTCTGGGATCGCCTTTCTTTGGTATCTTGATCAGGTTTCCTTCTTTCCAGTCTGTTGGTACTTGTTCCTCATCCCAAATCTTACTGAAGAGAATGTGGAGTGTCCTTGCAGTTACCGCCACGTATGCTTTTAATGCCTCTGCTGGAATGTTGTCTGGTCCTGCTGCTTTGCTACTCTTGATTTGTCTGAAGGCCACTCTGATTTCTTCAATTGTTGGTGAGCCAACATTGACTGGGAGGTCCGTGAGTGCTACTTCGATGTTGGGTGTGTTTATAGCGACTCACGTGCAAATGGGTTTATTCTCATTTAACTCAGTTAAGCCCTTTTGCTAACTTATTTAGCGGGCAAAGCCATCCGCACTATAACAATTTATTGTAACCTTATTATTATTCTGTGCTTATATGAAATACGCATGCTTGAATATTGCTTACGGCCTACGCATTTAATCACTCTGCTAGTCTCACTACTAACCGCTTATTTGATTCGATTACTCATTAATTTCACATGCTATATATATGTCCATGTTATTCATATGGCTGACTCTGCTTTCTCGCTCGCTTGATTGTACTCGATTACTTACATTCGCTCAGTCGCTCGCTTGCCTGTTTGCGGTTCGGCACAACTCTTAATGCTCATTTAATGCATCTGTAATTTTGGACATCTGTGTGTGTGGTCTCGAAATAAACGTAATCAACGCTTCGTATTCGCCTTCTGAATAATATACCGTTGGGGTTAAATAGGACGGTTATGAAGACGAATTGTATACGAAGTTCAAGGGATATATCGAATACCGACCACCACAGGTTCAGTGGGGCTGGTCGATTCAAGAGTTCTTTGAAGTGTTCTACCCACCTGTTTCGTTGTTCTTCAATATCGTTGCTAAATCTTCCACATATTTACGTTTTTCAATTTTGATGCTCCTCTTCACTTGTTTGTTTACTTCTGTGTATTTAGCTTGTGCCTTGGCTTTTTCTGCTCTTGTTCGACTGGTATTGATTGCTGCCTTCTTGTTCCTTCTTTCTTGAATCTTATCCAGTGTATCAACAGTGATCCATTCCTTGTGATGGTGCTTCTTGTGACCCAGAACTTCATGGCATGTTGAAGTGATTGCCTCTTTGATCCCCTTCCAGTTGCTCTCCACAGTAGTTCCCTCTCCAATGAGTAGATCATGAAAGGCCTGTAACTTGTTGCTGAGGTCTATCTTGAATTCGTTGAGTTTGTTAGTATCCTGAAGAAAGGCTGTATTGAACTTTTGTGATATTGTCCGCCCTGTTGTCCAGTGTTTCTTGAGTTTCAACTTCATCTTGGCGACCAGCAAGTGATGATCTGATGCTATATCAGCTCCTCTCTTGGTTCTCACGTCCTCTATAGTCCTCCTGAACGTTTTGTTGATGCAAATATGGTCGATTTGGTTTTGTGTAGAGTGATCCGGTGAAGCCCATGTGGTTTTGTGAATGCGTTTATGTGGGAATATGGTGCCGCCTATGACCAGTTTATTGAAGGCACATAGGTTTGCAAATCTCTCAACATTTTCGTTTCTTTCTCCCAGTCCGTGTCGTCCCATGATGTCTTCATCTCCATTGTTGTCTGTTCCAAACTTGTCATTGAAATCTCCCATCAGAATGGTCAGGTCCTTTATTGGGCACTTCTTGATGATTGACTGCAGCCTATTGTAGAATTGATCTTTAGCGTCTTCATTGTAGTCGTTGGTAGGCTCATAGCATTGGATGATGTTCATTGAAATGCCCTCTTTCTTTGTTTTGAACGAAGCTTTGATGATCCTTGGTCCATGAGATTCCCATCCTATAAGTGCATTTCGCGCTTGTTTGGACAGCATCAATGCAACTCCTTGTGTATGTGGTGCATTTTCTTCTTCATGGCCGGAGTATAACAGGAGCTCTCCTGTAGTTAGTCGTTGTTGTCCAACTTGCGTCCAATGTGTTTCACTGATCCCAAGCACCTCTAGGTTGTATATTCTCATTTCCGAAGCAATTTGGAAGACTCTTCCGTTGTCCCACATTGTGCGAACATTCCATGTACCTAAATAAATGGTTGCTCTGGTTGTCAGAAGGGACATCGGTCTCGTAACTTCCGAAGGAATTCGGCTTTCATCATGAGGCGTCATAATTCTTCTAAATGAAGACCTTCTGACTCCCAGGGCAGAGTTTAAAAGGTTCGAATAATTTTTTCTGGTTAGCGTTTTTTTAGCGAGTTAGTTTTCTACGGGATGGGGTTGCTAATACCATGCCAACCCTCCTCCTTCATCCGGGCTTGGGAACGGCAGTAGCCTTAGAAGGGCTGCAGGCGAAGTTTCATATGTACTCAATTAACGTAGTGCAGTTAAAAAATCTGAAAGATCTCCCGCGTAGAAGGGAACGAAATCCTGTATCTCAAACTATCGGTATAGTCAAATTGTGAGATAGACAGGTTATCCTATGAAATAATGAGTTTATCTCGACTGGTAGATTATACATGAATGCAATCCACTCTAAGAATAAGCGACCGAAACGTCTAGCGACAATGCGCGTAAATTAAGATGCATATTGAAAATACTGGCACTTACCATAAGGTGGAATGCCCGTGTTTGGACGGATTGTCCTTGGCGTTTACACACTCACCTTGGTGTGATAAAGAAGCAACACAGGAGGCAGTCAAACTAAACCAATTACCCCATTGAATATATTTATGTCCCTCAGACGTCGTGGCATAATCGTTTATGGGCAGCAACTGAATTGGGCATGATTATCGGTTGTCAGCAGCTAGTTTTATTGTTGAAATAAAGTTCTGAGATCGATTGACTAGCTAGTTACATTTTGAATGGGTTGTACTCAGTACCCCTACCTCAATATCAGCGATTATAATATACATAAAACCAAACTTGACAGTTGTTTCTAACGAGAAAAACATGACTACTGGCCCATAGGGATAGCCAGATCAGTCAATTAGACATTAACTATCAGAGTTATAAACATTCTGTAGGGCAGAACATTTTGTTTAATTACGGCTCCTTATGGTTTAGTGGGATGTTACGAACTTAAGATATTAATGCTGATTTATCATG